CTGGAGCATCAAATGTGGATTCATCCGCCAGAGAGAATAGTCCTCTACAAATGTGCTTTGTCCTTCTATTTGAAAAACGTTAAATTAAAGATACATGGTTCAGCTTATTTTATGAAACTACAGAGCCTATTGTAAAACTGAAACCATTTCAAAAGCCTATATATATACGAATATATATGCCGAAATACATAGATTAATTAAATTGGATCCACTCTAAAATCTAATAAATTCATCCTTGGCAGATTATACAACCTAATCCACCAATAAAATGTATGCCAGTAGTTTTCCGCAATTTAGCAAACAAACAGCCAAAAAAAACAAGCAACCAAACCAACTTATTGTTGGAGGAAATAACACTAGCCCATACTTCTTAACAAGCCCGTCACACCTTTAGTGAGTCCTGAAATCATGCACAAGAGTAAACCGCAACACCCATCTCACCCTCCCATTGCAGCAGCATTTCCACCAGTAATCGCTTGAACCAAGCTTCATCCTGTGTTCTTTTGAAACTGATGAAGGCAGTTTCATGAGATGTAACTCCTAGATATGGCTTCTATATGAATCATAAGGCTCATACAGGAGTGATATACAGTAGTAAAAAAGGATAGTACAAAGCAGGGTCACACACATTCAGAGGCTCACATTCACATTAAGCCGCTCAGGTGGGCATTATTTTCGGAGCATTAGGTTGTGCAGGACACAGCGCAGACAGTGAGATTACTCCATATTCAAGGCCACGGCTCGCTCTGAACCTGTGGCTGTGAATCCTTTGTGAATTTGCTATTAAGCCTTGAATAGGGCCGTGGGGAATGAGCTGCAGGCGACGTGTGTGCTGCGCCGCGGCTGATGGAGAGCTGACCCTCTGCATCTTTTACAGCATCCTCGCCGAATGCACCCGGCTTTGTTCGGCTGCTGATGGGATTCAACGTGATTCATAGGCCTGTTATCACGCTGTTATAGGTGTGTGTGTGTGTGTGTGTGTGTGTGTGTGTGTGTGTGTGTGTGTGTGTGTGTGTGTGTGTGTGTGTGTGTGTGTGTGTGTGTGTGTGTGTGTGTGTGTGTGTGTGTGTGTGTGTGTGTGTGTGTGTGTGAGAGAGAGAGAGAGAGCCAGCTATGTCCACGCTAAATCCCACACAGACTGTAATGGTCCAAAGGCCACAGATGGAGACATGTAGTGTATTATTGCTGAGGTGATGATAGGATTCACAAGCACACTATGGGAGCTCTTGTGAGATGGAAATGTGTGAAGGTGTGAGAAAGAGGTTTTATCAGATCCCTTCATATGTCACTTTTTTCCTCACTATGCTATGACGTGTGTTTGTTAGCGCAGCGCGCGTGTTTGGTTCACCCTTGCAGTAAACTCCATTAAATATCATTTTACAGTGTGGTTAGTGAGGGGAGGGATTTGATTGTATTATAACTAATCCAATCCCAGCCAGGATTTTAAAGGTGACTGCCGCTACACTGTGTGTGTTTGTGTGTCCATTCTCTGTGGATTCATTGAGTTGTTGCTCATGTATGTTCTCACGGGGAGACCTAATAGCCTATCAAGCTATGTAGTTTAATTGGGCTGTTGCTTGTGGCTGTGTGTGATCACACCTCTTGGACGCCTGTAAAGATGTTCTATTACATTGACTAGATGGCAGCTTCAGCCCCTGAGGATAGACAAATAGCAGCGGACAAGCATAAAAGATTTGTTCAATTTAAAGGGAAAATCGGACCAAATTATGTCATCATTGCATTATCTTGTTTTTCTACATGTATCAGAACAAATGTTGGACTTTCACCAAGATGAGAGCCGTTCTGCTATGATTTAAAGAATGTTACAGCGCTGACAGCCTTCTGCCAAGGACTTTTCTGTGGCCCCAATCAAGCGTTAATGGAGGAAGCGGAAAAATCATGTGACAGTGTGGATTTTGCTGGCAGATTGAAGGTCAAAGGCCTGTTAGCAAACTCAGTATCATTAAGTTGGTGATAATTCAACCCACTTTCTTCAGTCTGCGTACAAATGACACGACTTTACACATTGGAAAATGCGTGCAATAGATACGCTAAAGTCCGATTTTGCGTGCCTATCATACGCCAACTATTCCCATTGAGTTCTCAGTCCGAGTTTTGCGTGCATATGAGACGCAAATGGATACGGTCGTGTCTGAGAAGACCGGAAGCTTTGTGGTCCATAAAAACATGTTATTACTCAATATCAAGCCACGATTATTGATTTTATTTGTAATAGTATAATGTCGGACTTTTTTTGCCGTCCGTGAGGAAAATAAATGGGGCTCAGAGCCTCAAAATACTGAAATCTGTATTGTTTTTCATCTTTTTTTCCTTCGAATTTGTTATCATTTTCTAAATAACACACTGTTATTTACTCAACAATAACACACTATTATCCTTGTTTTTATTTATTCGTTTAATTATATAATATTGGGCTTTTTAGTCGTCCGTCAGGAACTGATTTTCAAAATAAAGTCACCGGAAACAGACGTAGGCCCGGTTCAAGCTTGATGATTTGGATGTTGTAGCCGCAATGCATGCTGGGATATGGTGTTTCCCACATAGCACGTTTCGTTAAAGGTCCACTGGACGCAGCGCAGTCCAATTCGAGAAGGCGATTCGCCATTAAAAGAAGAAGAAGAAGAATAAGAATAAGAATAAGAATAATAAGAAGAAGAAGACATTGAACCCTCCTTGACACGAAGTTCCTCGAGGTAAACCCGTTTTCTGTAATGTAATAAAGACATTTACAGTGTTTTTTAAATGATTTCAGCTTTTGCATCACTTTACACAGCACCATGTGTCGACATACAAGCTTACGCGTGCGAATTATTTGCTAGTTAAACCGTGAACTGCTCAGTTAGCATCATTGAGTTAGCCTTAGCTAACGTCTGTCGTTTTACGGAGCTGTTGCAGTTTAAAATCAATCGATAGTAACATAGTTGCTCATGTTGTAAATATAATGGGGCTTCTTCAGTTTTTTGACAGTATTTTGGGTTTTAAAGCTTAAATTCAGTCTTCGAGCCGATCTGAGATCTGCTCAGATATTTGTCCCGTTGATATTTAAACAGACATTACTAGCCGCTAGCCGATACATAATCCAGTATATTCTGTGCATTAGCCAAAAGTAAAAACGCATTAGCAGGTACAGGTTACCAAAAAACATGCATCTGAAGATGATATGTTATACATTAGGAATTCATAATAACTGAATTATTGTTAAAACCAGGGGTGGGGTTTCAAAGGAGATCTACATACTCTTGTTCCTCCATTGCTAATAGAATAACATCAATGCCCTATACCAAAACATTTTAATCATACCTTTCCCTCATAATGCTGATGTTGGTCTAAACTTGAATTCACTTAATATTAGGCTAGTTTAAATTACAGCTACACCTATGATCTAACTAACACCTTTTTTTGTTTCAGCACAATGTCGAAAGAAACTGAAAAAACAAACAAACTAGAAGCTCTTTCTGCTTGGGGATGCATATGTTGAGGACACACAGGCAAGTTTCTTGTTTTTTTATACCCAAAGTGTCATTATTTAAATCCAGTTAGTTAATGCCCATTTTGTTCTCCCTCTGTGTTTCATTACATTCCATGTCCACTAAAGAAACTCAACAAGGAGACTCAACAAGGAGACGCAAAAAGAAGACGAACCACGTCCAAAAGTGACCTGGTGGAAGAGAGACCAAGATGGGCAACGTGTGGCCAGCAGCAAACGAAGGAAAAAAAGTTCTTCTAATGGTTAGTCTACATTTTATGAATTTAATCAAAGTCAGTATATGTGATTTAAAGTAGCCACTGGTTTAATAATGCTGTTGATACTTCATATTTCTATATATTTGCACATCGATTTTGTCAGAGGACTAAGGACTAAAACCAATAAGCGGATGTAAATGACATGATAATGAAAAAAAAAATACATTGAGCTTTGATATTTTTCATGTTTGCTGAAGGTTGGTGGTTTTGTAACAGTTCTTTAAATCTGTCAATTAGCTAAAATAATCTGTTTAATGGGTTTGAATAATTTCCCCCCCAAACAGATGGTAGTCCTCCATGCAGTAGTTCCACCATAACAACACCATGTCTAAGCTACCAAGATCCTGGTAAGAAAAAAGCTACTTTTTCTCATGGTATGTATTTATATTTCTGTATTTAAAGATTTTAATATGCAGAGACTTGAAGACCTTCTACGGGACTCTGAGACCATTAAGGAGCAAGATGTTGGCGATGTGCCACCATTGTCATCTTGGACTCAAAGGCAAAAAGAGTTTCAACAGTGTGGCAACAGGCGAGGCCACAGAACATTGACAACTTATTAATAACTAAGAATATCGTCAAGATGACCTGCAATCTCTGTCTCCTGGAAGAAGCTGTCATCCGTTGTGAGGAATGTATGCCATCAGAGTGGTTTTGTGCAGAGTGTGATATCTTGGTTCATACAAAACACACTCTGCACAGTAGGCAAACCACCTGTAATGGATTTTAAAAGTACATTCCTCCAACAGAGTCTGTGAAACTCCAGGATGGCAAATACATCATTTCTAAACAAGGTTAGTGTCCCGTTTTTTTAATTGATCAGCCTTTTTTCCCCTCACAAAAAAACTCATTTTAATCTCAAATTGCATTCTGTTATCATAGTGCTTGCTTACAACATTGTTAAATCTCCTCCTGATTGTACTTTGACCTTGCAGACCGTTTGCTTCCAACATCCTTTCCTTCAAGGATATGTTCTAGTGAAGTTTTCGATGTTGCAGTCTCTGTATGTAGACCTATCATATTGGTGTGCATAAATGATAGGTTTTGGTGAAATTGTTTTTTTTAAAGTATTTTTTAACTAATACATTACTCTAATTCATTGTTATTGTTTTTTTCTTTATGTGTTCTTAGGCCGTTACGATCTTAATGTTCCAGAGCTAACATGCAAACATTGCACTAAGAAATGGGGTCCAGAATTCAATGACTTGGTTAGGAGTGGATACTGGCCAGCTACCATGCAAGCACAGACCCTGTTCCACCAAGATCTGTTCCATTCCTTTGAGGCTATGAAGACGGCAGCTCCAGGAATGTCTAGACAAGCCTTTACTGCAATGTTGGACCAGAGAACAAAGCAGTTTGGAAGAGTAAGTACAAATGTGAAGCTGAAAGACAAATACATGTATTATCATAATAAATATATTTATGGCCAATATGGATGAGCGAGATATGATACAAAATATGATAACATATATAATGTATTTTTATTTCAGACTGGCAAGGTGAATGCAGATGCTTTTCAGAGAAGCTTTCTGCAGTATGTGTACTGCACATTTGAAGAGAATAAAACTTCTGGGTAAAGAGCCATTTGTCTGTCCAGCCTGTAGCCCTGAAATGGTGGCTGTTTCAGTAGATGGCAATAGGAAACTTTACAGGTTCCAGAAAACAAACCAGTAAGTTTTTTACATTGACACAGCAATTGTCCTTAGTCCTTGTATTTTAATTTGACATTGGGATTGCTATTTTTATTTATTTTTTACATTACATGTCATTTGTTAGACGCTTTTATCCAAAGCGACAGTACGTGGACAATCCCCACAGGAGCAATTAGTAGCTATAGTTCTTTCCTGTTATATAGCTGTTAAAACTACAGCTGTTGAATCTAAAATATTTCTGTTAGACTTTATAACCTTGTTTTGAAAGATGTGCTTTAAATATAATTATTATTATTATTACTATGTTCAATTTGTAACTAGAGTGGTTATCTATAATTCCTTTTCTTATAGGAGTGAAGAGCCAGGCTTCTTTGACGGAGTGTTTTTAGCCCAAGACTCTGAGGTTTCCACTTTTGTGGAGGATGTTCGAGGGGCTGTCAAAAGTGTGAGTTTTAAATTAAGCAGAGCAAAATGTATCTCACCTTTCTTAATAACTAATAGAAGTTAAAATAGTAGTAACACAGTTGCCTTCATATTTTTTTGGAGATGGGATAGAAGTGTTGAGACCAGATGACAGGGTGATGAGGTTAGCAATGCGGTCAAACTGTCACAAACATTATTGCTGTAAAACTGGATTGAAAAAACAGCAAAATTCTAATCCAGAATATATTACACATTTGGAGCCTTCCAATTATCCAAAAACAGGTTTGTTATTATCCAGGGAGTTGCATATCCAGGTGAATCTGGCAGTCGAGCACACTGTGTAAAGTTTACATGTTTGATAATACCGTCAGTTGGTCCCACTATCCAGTGTTTTGAAATAACTTCTGATAATGATTCTCTAAAAACGATTTACTTTGGTAGACTGCAGGAAAAGCAATGTGTGGGGAATCTCACTGGACAGCAGCAAGGGAGACCTCTAAGCGAGCCAACAAGTTGGATGAAGAAGGTGTTGAAATTGCTGTGTGTAGGCATGGATTTCTTCTCAAAGGTTGGTAGTTGTCTTGATCATTTTCAATTAAAATATTTGTAGATAATCTGAAGCCTTACCTTCAATCTGCTTTGTACTCACTATTTTTATTTTATTTTTAAAAAGCTTTAAATATGTATAGAGGAGAAATCTTATCCGATGTTTCTCCAAAAAGAGTTCCAGAGTGCCTCACTTTTGGCAATGGACGTGACGTGTCGGTATGTACCATATCTTGACAAAGTGTCAGAAGCCTTGCCTCATCTTCAGCCCCTAAAGGAAATGAGACATTGCTTGTCTGTGATGCATGCCAAAGCCCACAACACCAAATGCGAGGTGAGGATTTGAATTACTTAAACAACAATTAATGGTAAATCTGACCACTACACATGAGTCTGAACTGATCCAAGAGAATGTTTTAAGTTATGAGTTGTTGACCTTGAGATTTGCATCAACATTGATTACCTCATGCTTTAGATTATTTGGAATGCACGGAACCAGGAGGGTGCCGGCACCACTCTTGGTGAAGAAGTGGAACAAGTAAACAGCTTCTTATCCAGATGTGGCCTAACAACTAAATACATGGCCAAGTCAGGTTTGTGAACTTGTTTGGGCCCTGCCTTCCTGTAAATGTACACATTTATATTTTATAACATTGTAATGAGATGTATTCTTCTTCACAGCAAGAACTGGCATGCTCACAGTCCATGCTATGGGCTGGAATCATCGCAAAGAGAATGGCCTCCACATTGCCATGTCCTCTAGATTCAAAAAAGTATGTTTGTGTATTGAAATGGAGATAACTATTTTAAGCTGTAAAATTTGATATTTAAGTCCACCCAATATATATAAAAATTACACCCCCATATAGACATTGCAGTGGTGCAGGACTAGAGCTACGAAATTCATTAAATATGTTATTGTGTTAATTTCCTCCTTAAAATGCATACTTTTGGTTTATTTTCATTGAATTATTTTATAAAATGGCATGATTCTGTTTTGCTATTTTGCAGACAGCAGAAAAGACAGAGGCTGTAACTGAGAGCCTGAAGAAAATGCAGGACCAGTTGAATTGCTCTGATGACATGCTAGAACTGTGGGTTGATGATGTCAAACAGTGGGCCAGTAAAGGTAAGAACAATGCTGATTTGACGTATACATAGATGGAGTCGGTTCATAAAAACTAAATAATGCTGTCCAAATTAAACTTTGTCCTTTAGTGTGCCTGTTAGTGTGCCTGTTAGTGTGCTGATGTGCAAATAACAGACCTTGATTGTGTTTGAAACTTGTTTTCTTCTTTTTATCTTATTCATTTAGGAAGTGCATCAGCCAGTCCTGCAGATGCTGGTTGTTTGCAGATCTCAATAGAAGCACTCTTTGTGAGCATTTGCCAGAAAAAGCACTACCTTTACAGACAAAATGGTAAGCATTTTGGGACATTTATTGGTTGTGTTGATTAAATCCCGTCAGCTCTTTTGTAATCTATGTTTTACTCTCATTACAGATCGTAACAAAAGGCGTCAAAAGATCGTCCAAAAGGTTGCCCAAGAAAAGAAAAGGTTGCTAGAGGACATCCACAAGTACAACCAGCAACCTGATGGTGACCCTATTGACACCAACACGGTTGTGGAGAAACTCTCAACCAAATCTGCAGAGAGCATGATCTGGCCTTGGCAGGAACCCAACAGAGGTGCTGTATAAAGATTTTACTTCTAATCTACAAAACTGTAGTAATAAAATGTGTTCATTAATGTGAAATGTTTATATTCATTCTCAGACGGTGTGGACATTCTCACTAAGAAGGGGCTGTTTGACCAAAAAATGCTTCTGTCACGACTGACAGAAGAAAAGCAGATCCTTGTGAAGGAGATGATGCAGCACTGTCCGTACCTCAAGGACTCTGTATCAAAGATCCAGACACTGATGGCCTCAGTTTCATTGATCACACAGACAGGAAGTAAGTGAACCACATGGATTTATTCACTTTAAAATACATAAGCCAATGTTTTTCAAACCAGCAAAGGCAAACACACTTTAAAGAAGATTTTATCCATCTGTTTGTTTTTATTTGAGCTGACTGCATTCTAGTCTTTCTTGACCTAAATAAGTTTGAAGACGAGGACATGGAAGAAGAAAAAGAATGGCAAAGTGACAACAGCTCAGATGATGAAGATGACGCAGAAGAAGGGACTTGACTTGTGGAAAGTTACTTGGTGCCCTTATGCAGTTCTATAGTTAAAGCGGACATATTATGCTTATTTTCAGGTTCATATTGTGTCCATATATCTGCTTTTTTACTGTTCTTCATTTTCACAGCTCCCTTCAGCCATTCTGACTTAATAATCAGATTTCAGCTAGCTGACTGTTTTAAGTGAATAAAAAGGTAGTAAAGTGACACAAAGCAGTCTAACAACTAACCCGTGGTGTTTAGCTAACTAACAGACACAGCTAGCTAACATGTAGATGTTTCTGTCTGGATTTGATTAAGTGTGCAGTTTTTACGTTAAAGCTGACATATTAAGCTTATTTGAGTTTGAAATGAGTGCTTCTACTGTGACATGTTTCCATGCTTTAATGTTGAAAAATTACTTTTTTCCTCATATTACCTGTGCTGCAGCACCTCTTTTCTTAGAAAAGAGGTGCTGCAGCACAGGTAATATGAGGAAAAAAGTAATTTTTCAACATTAAAGCATGGAAACATGTCACAGTAGAAGCACTCATTTCAAACTNGTGTTGACGATTTTTACCATGCGGCTAGAGACGTGAGATGTCCGATTCCGTCCTTCAAACGTGGGACAGTTACACGTATTGTGAACATGGGGGGACAGTGGAAATACCAGGAAGGCCAAGCAATAATATACTTATTCGAGTGTGCTTGCTTTTTTCTTTGGGAAGTTCCATCACTGTTGGGGAATATTTTCCGCAAGTCCAATAACTTGACCCCAGTTTTATAGTCAAACTTGTGTGCTGACTGGAGACAGCACCTGTAACCATTGCTGCTGTGCTCTCCGCTGTTCTGGTCTCCCGTTCCTGCTGTGATCAGCTGATGAGTTGTTATGATTTCTTGTTATTCACATGTTGATTTGCTCTGAACTAGGTAAATATTCTTTGGTTTTTTTTCTTTTTTTTTTGATGGGTTCTGGGGCTAAGTTCTTCAGAATTGACGTGGCACTCTCCGTGCAGTCGAACCTCTGCGCTTGGGGACTTTGATGTTATTCTCCGGGCGATACTCTAAATAACATCAGTGTTTGACATCAGGCTCGCGGCCTTCCTAGGTCCTGTCGGCCTGACTCTCCATTGCGACAGAGTGTCCATTACAATTCATTTAAAATGCATGGTCCGGGCTGCATTAATTTCATCTGCCATAGTTCTCATTATAGAGCCCTGGCGAGAAACCTGGACAAACTGAGAACTGCGCCGAATTTGAATCGTGCGTGGACCATAATATATCAACAATTAACAACTCTTCACTTATTTTCCAAAAATACGTCTCCTTGCAGTATAAATCCGTATTCGGCTGAATTTTATATGATATATATTTGTAGATAGGCTTTATTTACCCCCATAATCTTCACACTTAGATAGATAGAAAGACACCCTAGTGTTTTAAAAGCCACCCGCTATTGAATATTAGGGGAAAGTTAGAAAATGATAGAAATATAGAAAGAATAGAAAAATCAAAGAAGGATGCTGTAGGGATCTCTACAATTAAACACTGTTTTAGTGCGGAATTTACACAGGATACTAATAGGAGGATGTGGCAAACAGACAAAAATATATTGGCACGTATTATGTATTTACTCTTAGTGTAGGGGTTAGATGTATAAGAAGTGCAGAATTGGACGTTTGTAGGGACTGCACCAGCTTCATTCATTGAATAACTTTTTAGTATTTGTGTATATGATACGTATGCATACGAAACATGAAAGGAGTGCAAAATAGCCATATATACAGTCTTAATTAACTCTAGTAGAGATAACAAGAATGAATACACTATAGGGTTCGGCAGATAAGTGTTTAGTCTTTCAAGGCACTAAACTTCAATATCTTCGGGCCTGAGTTGTTGGCACTGCAATACCTTCCCCTGAATGTTACTCTGGTGTAGAATGAGTCTGATTAAGGGTTGTTTATATTACATAATTGAATCAGAATCTGTGGTCTAGTTAATTTAAAAAGTATATCATAACATTAATATTGCCTATTAATTTTGTGAAATAAATACACAACAGCATACAATGCCATTATACATAAATTTGTATTATTGGTTTGTAGGACAGTATGTATAACATCTGAATGTTATTTTCAAAGTTTTACTTAATTTACAGGTATTGTTTTAAATATTTACAATTTATATCTTGATGCGACAGAAAAGGTATACCGTCTTTAACGGTAATATTGAAATTCTGATTTCCATATATGTGTTCTCCCACACCCAAAACCCTGAATATCTTCTAAACTCGGGGTTATTAACATTCTTATTCAAGTAAATTAAAACATACAAGTCCCGGTCTGTCGCTGGCACGTCGTATGGGTTGAAATTACGCCTATCTACGCAATGGATCATATAAAGGTCAGCCCGAATTGCTGTTGATATGCGAGGAGACGCATTGTGTGAATAAATGGCAAGAGTGTTTAATGCTGATATATTTATGATCCACGAGTATGTTCGGGGCGGGCAGGTCTTATTTGTCCAGATAGTCTCCATCAGGGCGTCTACTAAGAGAGAACAACGGCAGAGTCTAATACTTTATGCGAAGCAAACAGGTGATGATTCCAAAGAAAAAAAAAGAGAAGCAAGCACATCGGAATAAAGTATATTTATTTTAACATTTCGATTTCATATCGCATATAACACCAACTTATTCCCAACAATTGCTTTGGGGCTAAAACATCCCAATCAAGACTGAGGATCTTGAACGTCCACGCATCAACCCCACGTCTGTTTTCCGGTAATTCGTGTTTTATGACGGAATGCCTATTTTGGTTTATACACACAGACATATCCTTCACAAAAACCTGGTTTAGTTGTACACGTTAAAGTTAAATCCCTCCGCTTGATGGGCACCCTTTCGTAAAAAATGTTTTAAGGTACTAACTAGGGGTTGTAGTTGAAGGTAGTTCTGTAAATTAACAATGACCCAACGCGTTTTTGCCATGGCAGGACCGCAATCTGCACAACGTCGCGTCCTATCGGACATATATCTTTCGAGAACCACAACAGCCTCGTATTTAAATACATTTAAATTTGTTTACCAGTTGGTGGATGATTGTTGCTATGACAGATTAATTTCCCCTATGCCAAATGGCCTCAGATTGTAAGCTTTTAAAATCAAGTATCCAACTTTGCGATGTTTTATTTGGTCATTCGGGCAGGTTCAATTTCCTTTGGTTAATTTTCGCTATGAAACTTTTACAAGCCTATAGTTGCCTATGGGACAAGTAGGTGACACTATTGGTTATTATTTGCTTGAATTGTTCTCCCTTTGATGTACGCGAATCAACAGTGTTAGGGCTTTTTACGTGCCACAACATTCACACACAACCGGTTACACCTGGGCCGGCCAATGTCCTGTCTTATTGTCTGACCCTTTTAACGATGTCCTTAACAAACCACTACCAGGTGCTTTTGGGGGAAGGAACTGTTTTTCCTTCTCCCCGATCCCTCAGACATAGGTTCTAAGTTCTATGTTAATTAAATGTTACAACATCCAATATCATATCTCTGTTTCAAATGACTGTATGTCTGTTAAGCTACATATTGATGTGTGAAAGACAACTCTAATATTTACAGACATCAGTTATGTACAAATCAAGTTTATTACTATTTTGGTAAGATAAAAGAGCATATGTAGCAAAACACAGGTTACAATATATGATCATGCACATGACAAAGTAAAGAAAGAGGTGCTGCAGCACAGGTAATATGAGAAAAAAAGTAATTTTTCAACATTAAAGCATGGAAACATATCACAGTAGAAGCACTCATTTCAACCTCAAATAAGCTTAATATGTCCGCTTTAATGTAAAAACTGCACAATTAATCAAATCCAGACGGAAACATCTACATGTTAGCTCGCTGTGTTAGCATGCTAGTGTTGTGCCTGTTAACTAGCTAAACACCACGGGTTAGTTGTTAGACTGCTTTGTGTTTGGTGTCACTTTACTACCTTTTTATTCACTTAAAACAGTCAGCTAGCTGANTTTTTTTAAACACCTTGAATTTCAGGGGGGGCGCAGGGCTCCGTTGGTGGGGCGCAGCGCCACTCCAAGACAATGGGGGAAACACTGACAAGCAAGTCATAATGTCAAACTGGCTGCTTAGGTGCTTAGGTACTAGTACAGTACAGTTCAAATACAGATTATTTCAGTTAATCGAAATGCTTCACCTTACTGTTTATTTTATTATATTTTGTATTTATTTGAGTGAATATTCACAGTTTAGTAATAATTAAAAACCCAAAAATAATAGTTTATGTTTTGTGAGTACTAGTACAGTAAAGTTCAAATACAGATTATTTCAGTTCATCGAAATGCTGCACCTTAATGTTTATTTTATTATATTTTGTATTTATTTGAGTGAATACATTATTCAGTTTAATAATAATAATAAAAATATATATATATATATTTTATGTTTTGTGATAATTTTTTCTGCTGTACCGAAAAAATACCGAACCGAACCGTGACCTAAAAACCGAGGTAGGTACCGAACCGAAATGTTTGTGAACCGTTACACCCCTAATATGCACGTTAGCATCCGGCAGTTTCTACGTGCTAGGGACCCCTACTGTACATTTCTAACATAAAACTTTGGGATCCTCAACATTTCCGGGTTCATAGCTATGGCAAGTTGGCTAATAATGTTAAAAGACACAGAAAGAACACTTACACAATTAAATAAATAAATACAATTAACAAAATAAAGTGAACAAATTATCATTAAAATAATTGTATCTAATAATTGTAAATAAATGTATCTTCATTAATATAATAATTATTATGGTGTGTGTGTATGTGTGTGTATATATATATATATACTTGAATATGTTCAAATAAATTATTATACTCTATTTGTAGTAAATGATCATTTCCACATATATTTTCTAAAGACTTTGAATTAAGTGTGCTTTATAAGAACTCTTTGTGTGGCATGATTGTATTTAGAGTTAAACCTTATTTCCTCACGTGTCTCCCTGTGGTCTCCTGCAGTGCGGAGGGCAGCCACGTCTCGGGGCAGAGTAACGGCCGGGACCCCCAGGCGCTGGCCAAGGCCGTTCAGATCCACCACGACACACTGACCACCATGTATTTCGCCTGAAGCCTCCACTTCCCTCCACCTTTCCTCGGCCGCCCCCCCCACCCTCCGTGCTGCTGCAGCTGGATGGCGGCGGCTGTGACTGCAGTAAGGATGTAATAAGCCAGAGAGGAGTTACA